TAACCGTTCTAATTGGTTAGTTTCAAACACTTAATTTGAAATGAATATGACTGGTTAAGTATTTACTGGCTAAGCAAAGTCAACTACAAGTTTTCTATATACTCAATCAAGAATCGACTAAGTCAATTTTTCAAAAAATCGACTTAATTAGTCGACTAAGTCGATTTTGTCATACAATTAAATTGCGAATAATTGCAAATTTTGCTTTTACCATAAAGTTTGCTAAAAAAAATTAATCGCACCCATCTACAGATCCAAAAAAAGCCTCTATGTAGCACTTGTTCAAAACTTTTGCGCTTATTGAACCCAATTTAGAAATAAAGACCTAGCTAGAGCGTTATTTCGATATATATCTTCAAAAAGAAATGTAAATTATGCAGGTCGTTAGAAATAATTTGATAACTTGATTTTTTATTCAATTATTTCGTATTTTTTAAACTACAATTTCTGGCGTCAATATACCTTTACATACGTGTGTACGTACATACGTACGTACGTCTATTATTTCAAGTTATCATTGCAGCAAAAATTGCAAATAATTGGATTATTGCCGCGCTACCAATCAATTCATTGGGGTCAAATAATTGCAATTAATTGCTTCCACAATCGATTATTTAGTACGCCTAATTGTGACCCAATCAAAGATCAATAAATTTAAATTTTGTATGAATTTTGTATGTTAACATTACATTATGAGGATCAGAACGGTCAGAAATCACCTGATCGCGAATTATTTCTGCCTCCATTATTTACCGTGACGCCAAGAAAAAAAACAGACTCCGGACTTTCAAATTTATCATTTATTATCTACTAGAATCAACCCTGATCAGGAACGTAAGTAAATTTATTGTGTGCCATAATGTTTCGCCGTCGGGACTGAATTTGAGTTGCAATTACAATTTACACAATTTAGTGATCGACACAGATTTCAAAAATGCCAAGAAAAATGGATCAAGAGCAGATCAAGAGCAGATCAAGAGCAATGTTTTGTTCTATGGATACGTAGAATTAGAATAAAAAAATTTTTTCAGAAGTTTAATAAAGTTTGATTAGTTTTTGCAAATCTTGATAAATTCCAATGAAATTTTATTACTGATCCAAAAGCTCGGATTAGATTTTGTAGTATTATATTAAAACCATTTAACGTACCTTTTATGTTAATTCACATGCACCACTAGGTTCACTGCTAATTTAACCAAGCAGAATAAATCCTTTGGTATTGCAGGGGAAGCCCTAATAACGTTAGACTTGTCTGCAACAGTACTACATGCAAGTATTGTTGTACTAAAACTGTAGCAAAAAATGCGTGTTCATAAAATTTGTGTGCGTATAACTCCTAATTATAATCTTGTCGTTTTTTATTGTCGGATGGTTAGATTTTCTGAGGTGATATTACAGTAAGTTTCGAATTAATATGAAGATCAAAATGATTTTAGTTTCGAATTAATATGAAGATCAAAATGATTTTATAAGTGTTTGAAAATCTCGGAGTCGCTCGGTTTTGAGTATGTACGTACATACACGAGATCACCATAGTGTTACCAGTAATGGGAATTGCCAGACTTTTCAAAATTCATTTTCACTAAATATAGTAATTCGACTAAGCATCAATTTTATTTTAGTGGTCTTTTAAAAAAAAAATTCGTGGTTAGTATATACAAAAAAATTTAAGATTAATTTTTATGATATGGAGGATTTCCAAAAAAACATTACAAAAGGATAATTACTAAGTACGTACGTAAATAAAGAAATATTAACTTAGCCTTCAAGGGTAACGACATTAATTTGTACGCATCATTTGCTTTAGATCTGAATTGTCATGAATTATTCTCCAATAAATCACGATCAATTTATTTGGTTACGCGTTAAATTTCTCTTATACAAGATCTTCTGAATACTTTGAAGTTCTTATTAATAACCAAATATTTTTAATAGCACAAATAATAAATGCAATGAAATTTTCAGATATAAAAGAGCGCACTCATAGCGTCTTTATCCTCAGAACATCACGTTTATTGCTTGAAGCATTAAATAATTTTGTTTCCTCTTTCTTCATTCGATTGTTCATTCGATTGCCTGGTGCAATTAATTTAATTCACAACCAATAAGATTTTAATTCACTATAATGAAGACCTCACTTGTTGTTTTCGTTGTTGTTCTTGCTTTCATAGTTTTGGATCTTATTGAAGCTTTGCCTGCAGCTTTACCCCAGGGCAAAGCTCCTCCTCCAAATCCAAATTTTAATAATGGTTTCCAGGGCAAGGGCAAATTTAATCCTAAGAACCCTCCCCAGAACCCTCCCCAGAACCAGAACCCTCCCCAGAACCCTCCCCAGAACCAGAACCCTCCCCCGAATAATATTGTTCAGGGATTTTGTGCTCAAAGTAAACTTCCACCCACTAATGGCCTACAACGAAACAAACCAGGACAACTTAGTTGTGCTGATACTCAGCTAGGCGAAATTCCAGACGTTAATCACATGGTTTCCTCTTTAATTGCATCCCCTAACGATGGTGATATAATCAAAGCGAATCAAAAATTCGATGTAAATGTAAACATACTCAATTTGGCAACAGGAAGCTTCGATGATCCTGACATAGCATATTACAAAAAGTCTCAACAACTTAATGCCCAAGGAATTATTCTGGGGCATTCCCACGTTACTATTCAACAACTTAACGGTAATCAACCTCCAAATCCTCAACTCACTTCCTTTTTCCAGGGATTAAATAATCCTGCTCAAAATGGCGTATTGTCCGTTACTGTTGACCCTGGTTTGGCTCCAGGAAAATACAGAATCTGTACAATGAGCAGTTCTAGCGGTCATCAAAGTGTGGTCATGCCTGTCGCTAAGCGAGGTGCTCAAGATGATTGCATTCGTATAAAAGTCCAATAGTTACTTTTATTTGGTTGTGAATAAATCGAATAAATCACTTTTTAATTAGTTCATTAGCTCATTTATAATGTAATTATTTTTTAGAAAAAAATAACGGTATTGTACTATTGTTTTTTTAGTGATTAGATGTGATTATAAACACAATTTAGATATTAAGGAGGGATCAAGTAATAAAATATTATACTTTTTACGCATATTTGCTCTTATTAGGAAATATTTTTTCAACATTTAACGTTAAAAAGTAATATGAAATTTCTATTATCGATAATACCGTTTGCCACTGCATACAGTATCCTGGGTTTATTCAAGAACTTTACTTTTTAAATTGAATATTACCCATGGATACTATTATGAATTACACTAATTACACTAATTTGTTGTATGTATGTCTTTATTAAACTTACTAAGTTAATGCAACAGTATCAAGATAAGTGTCGGGATTAGAGGAATTGACCGCACATTCAATCATCCGATCATCTCTAGTCTACGTAGTCAATCTGAAAAATACTTTGAAAACGGAACTTACAATACTGAAATAGTATTCATTAAACCGTTTATTAAACTTGACTGTAATACTGCATCATGCAGGGTGTAACTTAATACGATCATCCGAAAACGTTCGTTTTGTTAAATCGCTTATTTCTCAAAAAAAATTGCATGCTGCATACTGTCTAAATGCATAATTGTTTTAAAAAAAAAAGTTTAATAGTAATATTGCATTTAGACAGTTAATTTTCTGATACTTGATTAGTTAATACTGTATAAATGCATAAAATTATTTTTTTGCCTTTCCCGATGGCATTTAGACAGTATCGACTGTACATGAAACTACCATTTACGCTATATACCACGCTGACACCTAACCCTAACATAAACCCTAACCTTAACATAAACGAACGTTAAAGAAGATTTTGTCAGTATGCCACGCATGATCACGTGGCGGAATTTCGATTCGATATATCGGTTCGGGAGAGGATAGTGCCGAGTTTAGTCCAGGATAGTAATCAATAAGTATATATATAATATGATATGTAAATTATAGTTATTGTATGGGTATGTAGCGAATAATCTAGTTGCACACGGGTTATTCAATATACCCATACTATAATTATCTTATTGCACGGTGTCTGACGTAACAATCCCGTGCAATAACCAAATGAAAAGCACGGGTTGTCACATAAGACCCGTGCAATAAAAATATAACTAACGATGTTAAAAAACAAATAACTAGGCGCACGAGACTAATACGATGTATAACAATTCAATAACAAATAATACGAATAAGATATACAATATAAATTGGGATATCATACAGAAGTCTTCATAAAGGAAGAATCACTCAGAAGTTTAAGAAACTACAAAGGCGAATCCACAGGTTTTATATACATGAGTGATGTTCCGCAGCCAAAATAGAACGCGTGGAATAAATTCCCTTTAAAGACTATCAGGAAAATTGTATCTAAACATAATTTAAGGAAGCACCACTAATAATAAATGTTCAAGATCTAGCTTTCCTTCTTGTCACTGATAGGTTACTAGTTAGGGATGTTAACAGCCCGCTTCGGTCTGGCTTGGTCTATTTTTAGCCCAGTTCAGTCCAGTCAGGTCCTTGCTTCAAGACATGAGGTGACTTTTTCACCACTAAATCTTTATTAACCACACTAACCCCCAATACTTAATTAGGGGGTCGTTTAAAGCCTGGCACCTTCCGGGTTTTCCGATTTTTAATTAATATTAGGGTTAGGGTTAGACATAACCTAGAAAGTTAGTAGATATATAGTAAAATCGCATTTCCGACACTTTTACTTAGTGCATAAAGACCGGTTTAGATAGCCATTTTTTTATATTTTCGTGTTTTTGTCTTTGTCGTTTTGTTCGGCCCTTATTTGGGACGGTCTCTCCTGCTGAAAGTCGCTAATTTCCAACCCTAACGTAGATTTTTATTACTTTAAAATTTTGATTATTAGTGCAGATCATGCATATTGTCGATCTTTCATGGCTTTACTGGGGTAGAGTTTATTTTTCACTGATTAAAACCGGTTTAACATATAATCAATAAACCGGTTCCAAACTCTATACTGGAGTAACTTGAAATTC